TTACTGTGACATGACGACAATTACTAGTCCTGTCTGTGTTTACTGTGACATGACGACAATTACTTGTCCTGTCCGTGTTTACTGTGACATGACGACATTTACTAGTCCTGTCCGTGTTTACTGTGACATGACGACAATTACTAGTCCTGTGTGTGTTTACTGTGACATGACGACAATTACTAGTCTTTCTGTGTTTACTGTGACATGACGACAATCTAGTCTTTCTGTCCTGTCTGTGTCTGTGTTTACTGTGACATGACGACAATTACTAGTCCTGCCTGTGTTTACTGTAACATGACGACAACTACTAGTCTTGTCTGTTTTAACTGTGACATGACGACAAATACTAGTCCTGTCTGTATCTACTGTGACATGACAACAATTACTAGTCCTGTCTGTTTTGACTGTGACGTGATGACAATTACAGGTTCTGTCTGTGTTTACTGTGACATGACGACAATTACTACTCCTGTCTGTGTTTACTGTGACATGACGACAATTACTAGTCCTGTCTGTGTTTACTGTGACATGACAACAATCACTAGTCCTGTCCGTGTTTACTGTGACATGGCGACAATTACTAGTCCTGTCCGTGTTTACTGTTACAAGACTACAATAACTAGTCCTGTCTGTGTTTACTGTTACAAGACTACAATAACTAGTCCTGTCCTTGTTTACTGTGACATGACGACAATTACTAGTCCTGTCTGTTTTTACTGTGACATGACGACAATTACTAGTCCTGTCTGTGTTTACTGTGACATGACAACAATTACTAGTCCTATCTGTGTTTACTGTGACATGAAGACACTTACTAGTCCTGTCTGTGTTTACTGTGACATGACGACAATTACTGGTCCTTTCTGTGTTTACTGTGACATGACGACAATTTTTAGTCCTGTCTGTGTTTACTGTGACATGACGACAATTTCCAGTCCTGTCCGTGTTTACTGTGAAATGACGACAATTACTAGTCCTGTCTGTGTTTACTGTGACATGACGACAATTACTAGTCCTGTCTGTGTTTACTGTGACATGACGACAATTACTAGTCCTGTCTGTGTTTACTGTGACATGACGACAATTACTAGTCCTGTCTGTGTTTACTGTGACATGACGACAATTACTAGTCCTGTCCATGTCCTGTGTTGTTTACTGTGACATGACGACAATTACTAGTCCTGTCTGTGTTTACTGTGACATGACGACAATTACTAGTCCTGTCTGTGTTTACTGTGACATGACAACAATTACTAGTCCTGTCTGTGTTTACTGTGACATGACGACAATTACTAGTCCTGTCTGTGTTTACTGTGACATGACGACAAATACTGGTCCTGTCTGTGTTAACTGTGACATGACGACAATTACTAGTTCTGTCTGTGTTTACTGTGACATGACGACAATTACTAGTCCTGTCCGTGTTTACTGTGACATGACGACAATTACTAGTCCTGTCTGTGTTTACTGTGACATGACGACAATTACTAGTCCTGTCTGTGTTTACTGTGACATGACGACAATTACTAGTCCTGTCTGTGTTTACTGTGACATGACAACAATTACTAGTCCTATGTGTGTTTACTGTGACATGACGACAATTACTAGTCCTGTCCGTGTTTACTGTGACATGACGACAATACAATAACTGGTCCTGTCGGTGTTTACTGTGACATGACGACAATTACTAGTCCTGTCTGTGTTTACTGTGACATGACAACAATTACTAGTCCTGTCTGTGTTTACTGTGACATGACGACAATTACTAGTCCTGTCTGTGTTTACTGTGACATGACGACAATTACTAGTCCTGTCTGTGTTTACTGTGACATGACGACAATTGCTAGTCCTGTCTGTGTTTACTGTGACATGACGACAATTACTAGTCATGTCTGTGTTTACTGTGACATGACGACAATTACTAGTCCTGTCTGTGTTTTCTGTGAAATGACTACAATTACTAGTCCTGTCTGTGTTTACTGTGACATGAAGACAATTACTAGTCCTGTCTGTGTTTACTGTGACATGACGACAATTACTAGTCCTGTCTGTGTTTACTGTGACATGACTTACTGTCTGTGTTTACTGTGACATGACGACAATTACTAGTCCTGTCTGTGTTTACTGTGACATGACGACAATTACTAGTCCTGTCCGTGTTTACTGTTACAAGACTACAATAACTAGTCCTGTCCATGTGTTTACTGTGACATGACTACAATAACTAGTCCTGTCTGTGTTTACTGTGACATGACGACAATTACTAGTCCTGTCTGTGTTTACTGTGACATGACGACAATTACTAGTCCTGTCTGTGTTTACTGTGACATGACAACAATTACTAGTCCTGTCTGTGTTTACTGTGACGTGACGACAATTGCTAGTCCTGTGTGTGTTTACTGTGACATGACGACAATTACTAGTCCTGTCTGTGTTTACTGTGACATGACGACAATTACTAGTCCTGCCTGTGTTTACTGTAACATGACGACAACTACTAGTCCTGTCCGTGTTTACTGTGACATGACGACAATTACTAGTCCTGTCTGTGTTTACTGTGACATGACGACAATTACTCGTCCTCTCTGTGTTTACTGTGACATGACGACAATTACTGGTCCTTTCTGTGTTTTCTCTGGCATGACAACAATCACTAGTCCTGTCCGTGTTTACTGTGACATGGCGACAATTACTAGTCCTGTCCGTGTTTACTGTTACAAGACTACAATAACTAGTCTTGTTCGTGTTTACTGTGACATGACGACAATTACTAGTCCTGTCTGTGTTTACTGTGACATGACAACAATTACTAGTCCTGTCTGTGTTTACTGTGACATGACGACAATTACTAGTCCTGTCTGTGTTTACTGTGACATGACGACGATTACTAGTCCTGTCCGTGTTTACTGTGACATGAAGACAATAACTAGTCCTGTCTGTGTTTACTGTGACATGACGACAATTACTAGCTCTCTCTGTGTTTTCTGTGACATGACGACAATCAGTAGTCCTATCAGTGTTTACTGTGACATGGCGACAATTACTAGTCCTGTCCGTGTTTACTGTTACAAGACTACAATAACTAGTCCTGTCCGTGTTTACTGTGACATGACGACAATTACTAGTCCTGTCTGTGTTTACTGTGACATGACGACAATTACTAGTCCTGTCTGTGTTTACTGTGACATGACAACAATTACTAGTCCTATCTGTGTTTACTGTGACATGACGACAATTACTAGTCCTGTCTGTGTTTACTGTGACATGACAAGAATACTGTGACATGAAAACAATTACTAGTTCTGTCTGTGTTTACTGTGACATGACGACAATTACTTTAGTCCTGTCTGTGTTTACTGTGACATGTCTGTGTTTACTGTGACATGACGACATTTACTAGTCCTGTCCGTGTTTACTGTGACCTGACGACAATTACTAGTCCTGCCTGTGTTTACTGTGACATGACGACAATTACTAGTCCTGTGTGTGTTTACTGTGACATGACGACAATTACTAGTCTTTCTGTGTTTACTGTGACATGACAACAATCACTAGTCCTGTCCGTGTTTACTGTGACATGGCGACAACTGCTAGTCATGTCTGTGTTTACTGTTACAAGACTACAATAACTATTCCTGTCTGTGTTTACTGTGACATGACGACAATTACTAGTCCTGTCTGTGTTTACTGTGACATGACAACAATTACTAGTCCTGTCTGTGTTTACTGTGACATGACGACAATTCCTAGTCCTCTCTGTGTTTACTGTGACATGACCACAATTACTAGTCCTGTCTGTGTTTACTGTGACATGACGACAATTACTTGTCCTGTCTGTGTTTACTGTGACATGACGACAATTACTAGTCCTGTCTGTGTTTACTGTGACATGACGACAATTACTAGTCCTTTCTGTGTTTACTGTGACATGACGACAATTACTAGTCCTGTCTGTGTTTACTGTGACATGACACTAGTCCTGTCTGTGTTTACTGTGACATGACGAAATTCCTAGTCCTCTCTGTGTTTACTGTGACATGACGACAATTACTAGTCCTGTCTGTGTTTACTGTGACATGACGACAATTCCTAGTCCTCTCTGTGTTTACTGTGACATGACCACAATTACTAGTCCTGTCTGTGTTTACTGTGACATGACGACAATTACTAGTCCTGTCTGTGTTTACTGTGACATGACGACAATTACTAGTCCTGTCTGTGTTTACTGTGACATGACGACAATTACTAGTCCTGTCTGTGTTTACTGTGACATGACGACAATTACTAGTCCTGTCTGTGTTTACTGTATCATGACGACAATCACTAGTCCTGTCTGTGTTTACTGTGACATGACGACAATTACTGTGCCTGTCTGTGTTAACTGTGACATGACGACAATATCTAGTCCTGTCTGTGTTAACAGTGACATGACGACAATCACTAGTCCTGTCTGTCTCGACTGTGACATGACGACAATTACTAGTCCTGTCTGTGTTTACTGTGACATGACGACAATTACTGGTCCTGTCTGTGTTGACTGTTACATGACGACAATTACCAGTCCTGTCTGTGTTAACAGTGACATGACGACAATTACTAGTACTGTCTGTGTTTACTGTGACATGACAACAATTACTGGTCCTTTTTGTTTTTACTGTGACATGACGACAATTACTAGTCATTTCAGTCTTTACTGTGTGATGACGACAACCACTAGTCCAGTCTGTGTTTACTGTGACCTGACGACAATTACAAGTCCCCTCTGTGTTTACTGTGACATGACGACAATTACTTGTCCTGTCCGTGTTTACTGTGACCTGACGACAATTAAATACATGACATTGTTTCGCCGTTGAGGAGTCCGTGCATCTCAAACCGGATATTACTTACGAAATAATAAAGTCCGAAACTTTACGGATGGAATGTACAATTCCGAAACGTACACTCCCCCCACCATTTGTCCGGGGATATGAAAAAGTTCACATGTTCACAGTTTACATTTACACCTGTTCTTCAATTGGAAGAATCACAACTAATCGTCGAACTGATCTGCAAACCACCGTATCTGGACAACCACAATATTTAGGATCTTGGTTCAGATTTTTGTATCTAAGTTTTACATCCCGAACTTTTCCATCACTTCCTGGGTTTGCCTCCGAAACTTGTGCCAGTTTCCATTGACCACGCACATTATTTGAATCTTGAACAATTACAATGTCACCATTTTGAATGTTTCTCCTTTCATGATGCCATTTCTGTCTTATAATAAGGGTATGAAAGAAATCTCGTGTCCATCTTCTCCAAAATGTATTCACCACACGCTAAACAAATTTCCATCTTATTCTGGGGTCCTTGCAATCATCCCAGTCTCCTACAGGGACTCTGGTGCTTGCCCGACCTAACAATAGATCGTTCGGACAAAGATATGTACCTTCAGTAGGGTCGCAATTTTTTGTACCAATGGGACGTTCATTTAGTAGATTGGAAACTTCAAAGAGAACAGTTTGTAACTCTGAAAATGTCATAATTGCTGATCCAATGGCAGTCTCAAGAGAAAGTTTTGTTGAACGAATAAGCGACTCGCTGCAACCATTTTCCCAGGGTGCGTCCGCTGATTGTGTTGTCTGCCAATCCATGCCTCTAGCTTTCCCAAAATTCTTGATATCTTCCCAATCCAAAGTATGTACAACTTTTTGTAATTCTTTCCCGGCAGCAATTAGTTGAGTACCTGCATCAGAAATCATTTTTCTGGGATATCCTCTGATGGAAACAAAACGTCGTAGTACCATAAGGAAACTGCCCATGTCATATCCTTCTGCTACATCAATATATACTGCTCTTGAAACTAAGCAATTAAACAAGACACCATAACCTTTCCCATGGGTCCTCTTCTTAACTGCATCCTTGATTACAAGAGGTCCAAACAAATCAACAGCACACATGTAGAAGGGAGGGGTTTGCTTAAGTCTTGTTTCTGGCATTGGACCCATCTGTTGACCTTGCATTGATTTGAATTTTCTTCTACATATTACATACCTAAATTTAATTCTGCTTATAATGTTTTTTACTTTAGGTATCCAAAATCTGCTACGGATCTTTGCTAGAGTAACGTCAATCCCTGCATGATCTTCATCGTGTATTGCTTTCACTACATATTCTGTAAATACGTGATTTGTAGGAAGAAGTGCAAATGTGGACAGATTCCAGGTTTCTTCAATGCATTTACTCATTCTTTGTCCAACTGTAATAATTCCATCCTTTGTTCGTTCAGGGCCAAGACGTCGAAACCTCTGCATAACATTGTTTGGTAGGTCCATTTGAGCATGTAAAATCCAAGCCTTTTCAGCCTCTCTTATAACTTCAGCTGTCACATTTTTCAGAATCTTCTTGAATGAGTGCGCCTTGAATATAAGTTGCAAAATACCAGTGAGCCTATACAGCTTATTCAAGTATGAGATTCTCGTGGTGTCTATCAATTCCAGTATCCGAGTTGAGGATTCCTTTGGCTTCACTTCAATAATTTCTGTCAACACACTGTGGACCAATGAATCTGGAATTTCTAAAACATCAACAGTTTGTTTTATTGGCCACTGTTCAATAGGATAGTGTAAGAATTCTGATCCTTTCTGCCACCTTGAATCATTGTTTAACCCTTTCTCTTCCGGCACATTTTACGTGATTTTGGAGGCCTTTTGACATGGCATTATTAAATTATTTTTAACTTTTTTATCCAAGGAGAGAGCTAGGCATAATGCATACCATTTTGTAGGAAATTTCTTACAGATTATATTTTATGACTATTTAGATACTCAACCACTGACCTTATTAGTAAAGATTGAGGTCAAAGGTCAATTAAGTGCAAAATTTTATGGAATTTTTTTTATACTTTTTAATCTTTAAGCTAAATATTAAGTATGATGTATGTTGAAATAGGAAATTTGGTATATACCCAAAAAAGAGCATTATACTGTTCTACATGAAACACATAAACTTTTTTTTCAATTCTGCATATAACTACTTAAAAGCGGTTGCTAAGCAACGCAGAATTCTTTAATTTTCGGGCAGAAATTTTCATTTTTTACTCATCCTAGACACATTTATGCATCCCAGCACATATAAAAGTTAGATGTGAGGTCATACAATTACAAGGGACATACAACAGATAAATTGTTTTAAAGTTTGACCTTATTAGAACTATTTTTAGGAGGTCAAAGGTCAAATAAGTGCAAAAGTTTCATCATTTTTTTTCAATACTTTTCAATATTCTTGCCATAATTTTACACAATGGATGCTGAAATGGAAAATTCTGAATATACTCTCAAGAAGGGACCAGAACTGCAATATCCATGCATCATTTTAGTTCAAATATCTGTTTAATGACCTTTAAGTGGTTGCTAAGCAACATCATTTTAAAGTTTTTGGCTATATACATGTTTGTTATTTCACATTCTGGACACATTCTAGACACTTTTTGTATATTTCATGAAATTGTTTGTAAGATATATATATGGGCCATAATGATGAAAGAACATTTTTGTATTAAAAATTGACCTTGACACTCTTGTTCTTCAGGGGGTCAAGGTCATATCAGTACAGAATTCTGCTTTAAACTGTAAGTAAATATCAATTTTGAAATGCTTCAAACATGGATAAATCATCTAATAGTTGACGTAATAAAAATGTCGAATGACAAAATTCTCTGGTCTGCTTCTTACAAACCCCTAGCAAAACATGTATACAATCTTTTTGTTGAACAAGAAATCCATTCTCTTGATGCCATTAGAAATAATCTTTATTTTCATGAATTTAATCTAACAAGAAAAAAAACTAAATGATTTCATTACAAGATTTTTCTGGTATAACAGAATTTAAGGGGTACAATAAAGACTTGATGTTTTCTTGGAGGGAAATAATAATAATAGATAGCATTGGCAATATTTAACCCAAAACTGTTTAGTCAATAAGTTGAAAAATTGACTCTTATATCCAAATATACAAATACAGAAATATTGCAAGATGAAATCCAAATCAGACTGAAATCTTCAACAAAATGTTGAAGAGCACTTTTACTTTGTGTCCACCATTCTTTTATCAACTGTCATTTCTCTGTAAGACTGGAGGAAGTTCTTTGACTTGTCCAAGACATTATTATTTGCTGTCAAGTACAAGTGATCAGCTTCTATCCTGTAAAAGATTTAAATATTTTGAAACAGATACATGTCATTGTGTATATGAATTTACATTTATACATAAAATTAAGAGTGCTAAAATTACTACATGTATTTGATTTTCCTTTTCAAATTAAAATTGTATTATGTGATTCAAGTAGTTAAATAATATTGCTAAGTCAATGTATCAGGACTGATAATTCAACAACCTTTTAGTAAACCATCATGGTAAAATTACTGAACTAAAACAAATAGCATATTTGGCAATCTAACTAAAGCCAGACCTCTGTTTATGCTATTGCAACATATAAAAAAAACCTGGCAGTGGATGGAAGATCTAATTTTAATTATGCTACGAAAGCCATGAAGGGACATGTCAATTTTTCAAAAAAAGTAAAAAATGAGATCTCGAATTAGACCATCCAATCCCATGGATTACTAATTTGAAATCGTTCCCTCGATTTATAATTCGAGATCTCAAATTACACAATCCGATCTTACTGATTACTAATTTGCCCCCTCATAATTTGAGATCTCAAATTACATACCGGTAATTTTTTTCACAGATTAATAATTCGAGATCTCGATTTGTTACAACGTCAGTCTTATGATTTTGGCAATCTGTGCTCTTGAATTTCATTACATATATGTACAGATACATCCAACCATTTTAATCAATTAGTGCGTTCTGTTTATTTTGTATCAGCAACCGGTTGTTACCAACCTCTTTCATAACTAATTCAACATATATTTATTTTAGAAATATATTACACAGGACCCATATTCACTTTTTCTATTTAGGACTTTTAATTATTCTAATATACACGTAACACAAAAACCCAAAAGATTTTTTGTTGTACAAATATCAGTATAAGCATATGGATTTGAAAATATTCATGTATTTTTCTCATTTTGGACCGTTATATGTAATAAAAGGTAGGATGTAAAATACTACATGTACAATATTCTATTCTTTAAACATGTATTACTATATCCGATATGTCCGGATAAATAATTTTAATGAAACATGTGAAATCATGGGAAGGGTTTACATTCTGAGGGAACGAATTGTTTAAACTAGGAGAATGAATTATACAATCTGAGATAGCGTATTGTGTAATTTGAGGGAACAAATTGATAATCTGTGAAAATGAATTGGCAATCTGTTATAACAGATTGTCAATCCGAGAGACCGGATTGCATAAATCAAGAACTTGGTTTACTTTTATAATTTTTAAAAAAAATTTTGTCCCTATATGGCTTTCATAGATTGCATACCTGCATGGCTGCCAAGGTTGTAAAAGGAAAGGAGACAATTGACTGCAAATGTTACTTCAGGGCAAAATTCCTGGGGCAAGGCTGTTCGTGAGAATGAGATTGTTGACAAACCATCCAATGAGTTTGACCACCTATGTATATGATGTACGATAATTGGAAAGAGTCTAAAAAATTGAGAAAATGGAAATTCTAACCACATACATGTACTTTATGCAGATTGGAAATATAACAGCAGTCTATAAAAACAGCTTATTCCATATCTCTGCATTCATTCAAATAGATATTACATGTTTAAATAATGTGTTTGCATGAATAATCAAGCATCATGAGTACACTGTATTATGTGTTTCAAACACTTATTTTTCAAAATATAAATCAAATGTTTATAAACTTGTATGAATGCAATATCATGAGAATGACACAAATGAAATTTGACTTTATTTTTTGAAATTTTAGAATATACAGAAATTTTCAACACCAAAACAAAAATTTACCTGTTCATTGGTGTCCTTACATATTAATTGGCCTTCGTAGTTCATGGTGGGCTTAGCAAGTGGGTATTCACAGATGAAAGTATTGTTGCATATGGTGCCTGCACCCTAAAAATTCAATGTGAAAGTCGTACATGTACACACTGGTACACACATACTGAAAACAACTATCCATTATTATGGCAACTTTGATTTTACTTTGAACTTACGAGTGATTTTCAAAAACATCAAAGTTCAAAAGCAACACAAAATTGGTTGAACAATACGATATACGCACACTGAAACATGAAGGAAGATCTAGTATTTTCTTTTGAACGTGAACTAATGCGTTTTAAACTTAAACTATTCAGTCAATGTACACGTATTCTCACCTGCTAATACCAAAGGCATGTCCGTATTATTTGATTCATTGATGTGATGATCTTCGTCGTGAAATAATCATGAAAATTGACGTTCAGATTTCGGATCACCATCATGTTTACACCACAGCGGAAACACGTGGTTATTTCAATTCGTATCAACTCATACAGTGATGAGTCGTATTTATTTATAAATGCGAGTTTTTGTATTGTAAACTTCCGTGCCAATATAGATCTAACTAAATTGCAAATTAAGTATACAGTATAATAAGATACAACAATATTAAAAATCTGATTTTTTTTTAGTAAAGATCGACGATTAGGGAATCTACAATTTTATCAACATTGTAACGTTATATCACTACATGAAATATATACATCATTACATGTAGATGAATAAATTAACATTTCTTATTCACAAAAGGCAGAACGATAGTATTTATTTGTTTTTTGAAATCTATTTTTTGTATTATGAATTTATTTAGGTAAAGAATATATTTAAATGGTCAAAAAAGTCTTATAAAAGAAATTGTTTTTTCGAGTAAGACGCAACAATATCGACCTTGACGTTACATGTAAATATTTTCCATAAAAACTATGCGAAGGTCACAAATTCAAATTATCGTAATTAAGAAAATACTGAGTGTAAGAAGGCCTGTAAGGGCTTGTTGGAAAGGAAATTTTCTCTACTTTTACCAGCTATATTTTGTTTTCCCTATTTCACACAGAAATAAACTTAAAACTGAGCTTTGTTTAAACGTTACGAATAAAATCGAGAAAAAACACACAAGTGCAAGAAAATTCTTGTTTTTAAAATATACTTTAAAGTAACAACAATAATTTTTACATATTTTAAAAACAGAGAAAATATGCTTTAAGAATATACCATACTTTCCTTATAAAGTTAATCAGGAAAAAAATGTCAATCGTCTGGAAAATCGGCAATTGCTTTGGAAAATTACGCCATTTTCAAAAAGTCACGTTTGTCTTCACAACGTAAAATCGATTAAATATCGGCAATCAAGACATAATCTTTTTAGATATTTTAAAAGTAGAGAAAATTTCCAAAAAGACGATATATAGTTTATATACCTTCGTGCTACCATTAAATAGATACGGAGATCTTATTTTCGCGAAGTCGTGTTTTAACGCGCCATCGGTCAATTTGACTGGTACGGAAATGAAGGGGTTAATATGCTGGGATGTGTAATCGTTGTTGTAAGATCTGCAGGATTTTGATCAGAAGGAATCCAAAACCATTCAGCCTTTTGTGTCTTTGATTGAATTTCGGCTATCCTATTGGCGACAAATGTACCAAAACCGTAACTTTCCTTTTGAATTTGGGCACGGACAATTGCAGAATCAGTAAGATGAATTACTCTCTGAAATGTAAAAGTCATGCTTTCCACAATTTTTTCCCTTATTCTAGCTGACAGCACAGCACCGCAAAGCTCAAGCCTTGGAATGGAAAGTTGCTTAACTGGCGCAATCCGATTTTTTGCAAAAATTAATCTGACGTCATAAATGTCCCA